ATGGAATCATAAAAATATAAAATAATACAAAATCAGGCAGAAAAGAGGAACAAAAACATATGGGAAAGATAGAAAACAATTAATAGGGTGATAGATTTCAACCTAACTATATCGATAATAGGAGTCCTGGTCGTGCAGTGGTTAAGAGCTTGACTGCTAACTGAAAGGACGGCAGTTTGAATCCACCAGCCACTCCTTGGAAACCCTGTGAGGCAGTTCTACTCTGTCCTGGGTCGCTATGAGTCGGAATCAACTCTACGGCAATGGGATTATATCAATAATTAGGAGCCCTGGTGGCACAGTGGTTAACCATTCGGCTGCTATCCAAAAGTCAGCAGTTTGAATCCACCAGCTGCTTCTTGGAAACCCTGTGGGGAGGTTCTTCTCTGTCCTATAGGATTGTTATTAGTTGGAATCAACTTCACTGCAGTGGGTATATCAATAATCACATTAAATGTTAATGGTCTAAATACCCCAATTAAAAGAGATTGGCAAATTGGATAATGAAGCAAGTCTACAAGTTGACTATATGCTGCCTTTAAAAAACATATTTCAAATATAAGATACTCACAGATTAAGCATAATGGAGTGGAAAAAGACATACCAAGCAAACACTAATCATAAGAAAGCTGGAGAGATTTTATTAATATAAAAAAATATAGATTTTATAGCAACAATATTATCTGGGATAAAGAAGATCATTTCATTTTGAAAAGGGGGTCAGTTAATCAAGAGGACTTAAAAATCTTTAACATTTTTGCACCTAATAGCAGAGTTTCAAAATACTCAAAGAAAAAGCTGACAGAACTGAAAGGAGAAATGGAAAACTTCACAATTACAGTCGGGTATTTCACTTCTCCTTATCTCAATAATTAATAGAGAAAACTGACAAAAAATCAGTAAGTATATAGATTTGCTCAACACTGTCAACCAGTTTGACCTACTTGACATTTATAAAACATTCACACAAAAACAAAAGAATACACATATTTTTCTAGGCCATAGGGAACATTTACTAAAATAGACCATATTCTGGGCTGTAAAACAAATGTCAATATATTTAAAAGAATTCAAATCATATAAAATATATTATCTGACCATAAATGAATTATAAATCAGTAAGATCATACTCTCCGGAATATCCCCAAATATTTGGAAACTAAATAACACACTTCTAAATAACCCAAGGGTCGAAGAAGAAATCAAAAGGGAAATTAGAAAGCATTTTGAACTGCATGAAAGTGAAAACACAGTGTATCAAAACTCGTGGGAGGCCAATATACAGGACTTAGTAGGAAATTAATAGCACTAAATACCTGTGTTAGAAAAGAAGAAAGGTCTCAAGTCAATGACCTCAGCTTCCTTCCACTGTAAGAAACAAGAAAACTAAGAGATAGACATATGAACCAAGCCAGGCTAATCAAAGTTATTTCCTAGTTTCTAACTTGCGCTCATGGGGAGGATACTTCTTTCTTCTGGTACGAAGGGATGAAGGTGATGAAGGAAGGTCCTTCCTTCCTGGCATGAAAATTATGTTTCATGCTCAACAGGTCAACTTAGAGCTAACATGTAAGGATTCTGCCAAGGTCCCGGAGCCAGAGCAATGCTGTGCCTGACTTCTGGAAGCGTGTGTTTAAAGGGCGGTGGCCCTCTCTTTTCCAGGAATTTGTCCTAGAATATGATCTATATTTTCTCACATTAAAAAAAGAGAATCTACAGCTGAGTGTAAGAGTAAACTTTGTATTTTCAGGTGAATTTTGAGAAACTGAATAAAGTAAACTCATTTCATAAAATTATAAGACCTCATATCAATTATTTTAAAACCCCATTTTAAGATATAGGTGATACAGAGCAATTATAGGTATGCAACACAAACTTGTAGTTTAATGAAATGAAGGAAAATGATATTATTTTACAGGAGAGTTTCTCATATGGAGAGATTTATTTTTATTGAAAAAAAAGGCTTTGATAAAACAGGTGTTGGCAGGAATCAAGGCAATAATGGACATTTTCAAGATGTTCTGTGTGGGAAAGTGGCTTAAAGTCAGGCGAAATAGAAAAAGTAGACATGTATTAAAACCAGTTGCCGTCGAGTTGATTCTGACTCCGGGTGATCCCATGTGCGTCAGAGTCGAACTGTGCTGCCGAGGATTTTCAGTGGCTGATTATCCAGAAGTAGATAGCTAGGTCTTTCTTCTGAGGTGCCTCTGGATGGAACTGAACTGCCAGCCTTTCAGTTACCAGCCAAGCGTGTTAACCTTTTGTCCTACCCAGGGACGCCCAGACCTGCGTTAGGGCAGAGTAAGGAGGAGGGAGAGTGAAGACGCCACAGCAATGGTGTCTAACTTGAGTGCAGAAGCCTATGAGAATTTCTAGTTGTAGGGGCAGTAAAGAGGTATTGGAAATTGCAAAATAAAGCTCTCACCCCCTTTCACCTCAAATCTTTAGGAAAATTTAATGAATACTTTATAAAAAACAAAAACAAAACCAACAGTCCCTGGTCTTGAAATTGAGGCATTGGTCAAGTTTCACCTCTGGGGTGATGCAGGGTAGTGCTGTCAGGTTGCAAGAAGATTTCAAAATGGAAAAGGCAGAAATTTAGGATCAGTATGACTGCGAGGATATCAATACACGTGGCATTCACATAAACTTAAAGACCGCTTTTGTGCTTCTACAAGAATGCAATCAAGGCTTACAGGCAGTCTTACCTCGATTCCAAGAGGCAAGGAGGCTCTGGTTAATACCAGCATTATATTTAAATTAGAATATAATCTCACATCTCAAAACATGGATGAATCTGGAGGGCATTATGCTGAGTGAAATAAGTCAATCACAAAAGGACAAATATTGTATGAGACCTCTACTGTAAAAACTCCTGAAAAGGTTTACACACACAAAGAAACAATCTTTGATGTTTACGAGGGAGGGGAGGGGTAGGGATGGAAAAACTCTAAATAGACAACAGATAAGTGGTAACTTTGGTGAAGGGTAAGACACTACACAATACTGCGGAAGCCAGCATAGCTTGTCCAAAGAAAAATAAAAGAAGAAGAAGAAAAAAAAAGAATATAATGAAATATATGAAAGCTAAAGTTTTGGCACAGAATATACTTTATTCCTCTTTATCTGTTCCCCTCTTCCTTATTCTTGCTCTTTGAATAGATACACTTTACATGTGGGGAAAGCATAAGGTTATTCTTTGACAGAAATATAATACATGTCAAATCCCTGAAGGGGCTTGCCATCTGTTTGGAGAATAAGGCTAATGCAAGTGAACCAAAGGCCAAAAAGTAAGTTACTAAATTATCTGATGATGAATTTGAAGTGTTTTAAGTATGTAATCAGAGGCCTGTTGGATTTCAAGGGCTGTATGTAATACATACTTACCCTCATACCATTTATTTTTTTCAGGCCAAATCAAATCTTGATCTCGAATAATGATCTAGCTTCAGATGGGGCTGGCTGAGAGTGGGTTGAGGACAAAGCCAGCCCCAAGGAGGCGATTCACAGAGGCCTTTGTGTCTTTCCAGACCTATATGTATCTTTGACATTGAGGTTCATTACTACCCCCACTACGTTTCGTTCGTGAATAACCCTTTATTTTTCAGAGTCTTCGGCATTTCTGTATCAGCCATCGTATTTTATCTTTCATGATTTCAGTGAGTCCCTATTTCTCAGATGAGGAAAAATGAGGCAGTGATAGATTAAAAAACATCTTTATTTTAGAAATCCTGAACCCTTCTCTCCATCTTTGTAACTGAATCCCAACCTCGTGTGTGTGTTTTTTAATATCCCTGAGATCCAGCTTAAATGAAACAGTGCCTTTCCACCCATATAGGTTACTTCCCAGTCTGATTACCCTGTGAATGTAAGAGCCGGCTTCAGTCCAAGTGCAGGGAAGCCAGGGCGAGGAATGCCAGTGACTGTAGAAGGGATTTGATGTCTGTATCCACATGTCTTGTGTTAAAAGACCTGCATTTTAGAGAATTGTTCATGTTGATTTCACATTTTATATGCCGCTGTCCCTCCATGAAGAGTTTTAGCTCTGGATTATCTTTACTTAACATAGTATTATCTATGTTTATAGTAGGTGTGCATTACATATGCTATGTATTTTTATATGTATTTTACTTATTTTATGTTTTATTCTTCTCAAAACAGTAGGTTGAGGAAACCGTTTTCAGCTGTTACTCTTGACAGTGCTCTAAAACAAGTAAATTTTTTGCATTCTTATCACAATATGAATCAGCTAAATATACTTTAGGTTTTAAGAAATAACATAAATGATCTATAAGTATAATGAAATATTTTTTAAAAGGGGCGTTAAAACATTGCCTTTGGGTATGTATCAGTAGGGGCAAATAATGTTATTAATAAAGAACTTTATTTTAAACACTGGTCATATCACATCTTCATACCAAAAACCCACTGCTGTGGGGTCGATTCTGAGTCATAGCAACCCTGTAGGACAGTGTTGAACTGTCCCATAGGATTTCCAAGGCTGCAAATCTTTACAGAAGCAGACTGCCACATCTTTCTCCCACTGTTATCTTACTAGGACCACATTATTATAGAAAGATTTGTCCTTAATTTAAACACCTGGCATGTTTAAAACAAGTTTGTATCAATGAGAGAGTAACTGAAAACAAGAAAACTGAGAGAGGTAGAGTTGTAAAGACTCAATTAACTCTGCCTCTTTGCTATTTTCAGGCTCTCCATGTCCGTATTTTGACATCTTTATGTGGTACCCAATGCTTAATTCCATGTTTCCCTTTTAGTTATATACGACTGACTTCTATGGGGTTTATTTTCATTTGGTTCTAAACATTCACTCTGCTTAAGCCTCCCACGCTTGGTGTCAGTAGGAACCTTATTACCTTCTTGACCGTTTAACATTAAAGTTTTTTTTCCTCTCCCTCCCTCTCTGTCTTGTACCTAATGAGCAAATCATCTAAAAATAGATACGTTCATCATGCTACAAAATGTTGTATCTTCTCTAGATTGGAGGCCAGTGTAATTGTAAGAGACACGTGTCTGGCAGACGGTGCAATCACTGCCAGGATGGATTCTACAATCTTCGAGAGTCGGATCCTGAGGGCTGCAGTCCCTGTGACTGTAACACCTCTGGGACAGTGGATGGAGATATTACCTGTCACCAAAATTCAGGCCAGTGCAAGTGCAAAGCAAATGTTATTGGTATGTGCAATGCAAAAGTTTACAGTCACATCTCTATTACCGTCTGAAATAAAATTCTCTATTTGATTTCATAACTCAAGAGTAAAGTAAATTTCCTTTCTCAAGGCAGCCTGTGGGGGGGAAAACAATCTGGACGAAATTAACTGTCTAAAAATGATTAAATTAATAATTCTATCGAACTACAGCTTGAAGCTGAGTTTAATCAACCCTTTAGAAGTTTCTTTATTCTGTAGATGCATTAGTTCACATGGTCCCATACTAATAAGTCATAGAAAAATATAATTTTCTTACTGCATAGATGTTTCTTTTAGAAAATTAGCACTTTTTCAAAATGTTTTGCACTTAATGAGTTCTAAGCAAATCGTTTTCATGCTAGTTTTCTTGATAGACCAAAATAAATGGATTTAAAAAAAATATTCTCTGCTACAGGGTCCTTTGTGATAAATCTTTTCATTTTTTTTCTATTATATTTCTTTGAACTGTTCTTATGAAATGCAAAATAAGTCAACATAATTCCACAGATCATATATATTGCTAGGGTTAGTTATAAAGGGCCACATAATTTTAATTTTGTAATTCAGTGTCAAGCTGATTATAATAAACAGCTACCTTTGGTGTTATTTATCATTTTTTTATACAAGATGTGCTTTTTTGTTTGTTACTCCCACAGGTATTTTTCAGAAATTAGATTTGATTATAGCAATTTATTACCTCCAACATTTTTGAGGGGAACCGCAGCCACATAAGGACAAAATTTATCAAGTGCCCAAAATGCACTATGTACATAATGCACTTTGAAATTTTGATGTATGAGAATATTATGAGCGGCAAGTTTCCTGATGAAGTGAGCCCTGTATTGTAACTGAACATGTCTTGGCTCACACAGGAGGTTTAAAACAGACCTTTACCTTTCTATTGTCATTCAAGACACCAAGTCCTCCATGGTTTTTCTAATACTGACCCGAACCCTACAACAATAAGAACATGCCTGGCAGTAATACACGTGTGTGCGCGTGCACACATACAAACACATAGATACAGATACACATCCGCAGGTACATCACATTCTGAATACCTTTTTCTTTGTGTGCTATATTCTGAAGCTAATTCCTTATGTTCCATATGTGTAGTTGTATATACATCTTTTTATGCAATTCGGCTAATCACACATTTCAACTTTAATTGAAAAATAAAGAAAATGGTGCACTTAATGGTCTTACATGAGACTTCTTTGGTGTAAAGAAAGGTTACACCAAAATCGATAATAAAATTTCCCCTTCTTCTTTTCAAGTACACAAAAATTAACTTTTCCAGAAAAAAAGAATCGCTAACTTATGAAGAGATGCACATCTTTGTGTGTTATCTGTGATGCTGACTGAATTCTAAGACCTTTGAATTCAATCTCTGTGACATACTTTGTTCTTTAATGTTTGATATATTTTAAATTCAAGATGTGAGCACAAAACTTAAAGACAATGTATATCAAAGGGATCGTTCCTCTGTTGGGTAGGTTTCAGAAAGGAAGCAGAAAATAAAAATTTACTATTTATTTGGAATTTGTTATGACTTTCCTGCCATTTACCTAATTTTTAGGGGTTGATCGAGGTAATGTCTGTGGGAAAATATAGCCATATATTTTACAACAACTAAGTCACCATTAGGAGTCCTGGTGGCTTAGTGATTAAGAGCTTGGCTGCTAACCAAAAGGTCGGTAGTTCAAATTCACCAGCCGCTCCTTGGAAACCCTATGGCTTAGTTCTACCCTGTCCTATAGGGTCGCTATGAGTTGGAACCGACTTGTTGGCACCTAACAACAAATCACGATTTAGTATTATTATTTTTAGGGTTATTTCTGCAAATGCAGTATTTTTATAATAAAAATATAACTTGGTATGTATATATATTTCTTTTCCTAACGCAATTAGCAAGTAAACTGATTCAATTTTACCTTGTTAATGTAAAAAAAAAAAAACAGAAAATACAAGTATATTGTATATGCTTCACAAAGCAAACTGAAGAGTTCACAAAACTGTTAAATCTTACTAATGATTCTATCACCAGTAAAATACATTAGCACCAATAATTTTATTAAAGTAGGTCATTCATCTAGAATAAAAAGGGAGAAGAATGTGAATTAAATGCCAAGTGTGCTAACTCGCCTATACTTGTTAACACCGAATGTGATGCCCTGTAGGCCTCGTCAGGAATAGATTACCTGTCAGGAATATGTATGGCATATTCAAATAAGCACTGCGCATATTTTTAAAACTGATATGATATGAATCCATGTAGACCAATTTTAATAGTTTAAAATGAGTCATAATTCTTGTTAACAATACAGTTATTTTTAAATTTGCAGCAATAGTGGTCCTTTTTTATTTTCCTTATTGAAATTAAATGATACGCCTCAGGTGACTCATTCGTCACCGTTAAAGGAACTTGCCTCCCGTTGGAGTTCTTCAATTGTTATCCATATATCAGCATGTACAGTGTGCATTTCCTTCCAGTTTAAGAAATACTTTTCTACATATGAGTTCCTGATTGCGTTTTTGACTGTTATTTTAGGCTTCATTTTAAAAAAATAGTTATAATGGCTTAACATAAATGTTTCAATGGATTCAAACCCACACAGCGAGTTATTTAAATTCAGGGATATGTGAAGATTACCTACAAGAAACATTTTGCATCTGAATGCTTACGACTCCTTTTTTTTAACTTCTTTGCCTTGTAATACCCTTTTTGAGACTAACCTCAGATGCCAGAGATGTAAGTTTAGGGGATAAAACGTTTTTCTCTGTTTGTAAAATGTGTATGCATATGGTTTTACATAGAGGTAATATAAACAGCATAATCTACTTAGTGGTTGAAGAGGTATGTTGTGAATCACACAATATGACAAGCAAAGCGATTGCTTTATAAGCCAAGGAGAGCATAACTTATATTAATTGAAAATGATAAAAGATAGGCCCATATAAAAGCATTAAAATAAAAATCACTCTGGATAAATTTTATTTATGTTAATTATTTAAATGTATGATATTCAGAAGTAAGTGGACACACTGTTGTCACAGGAAATAGTTATCAGCTTAACGTTTTATTAAACAATTTTAGTGAATTCTGATTTGGGAAAATAACTAATGTGGTAATATATGCATTTCTTCTTCTGTATGGCTTTGAAAATATATTTCACTCTCTACTGTATTTTACAATGACTATTTTTTTAAAGATAGTTTTAATATTTGCTAAAGAGGGAAAGAGCCCCAGTGTATGTGGCAGAAGGAACAATTCCACTAGCATTTTTCTTTGCATTAAGTAATAAACAACTAAATTTTTATAAAGCACACTGCAAGCAAAATTTTATATGAATGCTGAATTAAGTTTTGCCATTGTATTCTGGGTGACTGGTTAGCCCTCTGGGCCGTTGCCAGTGAGAAAAACCCTCAGCACGTTGAGTCTGCATTAAATGTCTCCACCAGCACTGTTTGTGTTTCAGCTCTCTTGAGGTGTCGAATTAAATTATTTTCCCATCCTCACTTGTTTTTAAACACGTTTGATCTTTAGGACTTAGGTGTGATCACTGCGATTTTGGATTTAAGTTTCTCAGAAGCTGGAATGATGGCGGATGTGAGCCCTGCCAGTGTAACCCCCACGGCTCTGCGAACAAGTTCTGCGATCCTCTTTCTGGGCAGTGCAAGTGCAAAAAAGAAGTCAAAGGACTTCAGTGTGACACCTGCAGAGAAAACTTCTACGGGTCGGACGTCACCAGCTGTAAGACCTGTGACTGCGATATGGCTGGAACCCTCCCTGGGACGGTCTGCGATGCTAAAACAGGGCAGTGCGTCTGCAAGCCCAATGTTGGAGGAAGACAGTGCAATGAATGTTTGGAGGGATACTTCTACCTACAACAGCAAAATAATTCCTTCCTCTGCCTGCCTTGCAACTGTGATAAGACTGGGACAGTAAATGGCTCTCTGCTGTGTGAGAAATCAACAGGACAGTGTCCTTGCAAATTAGGGGTAACAGGTCTTCACTGTAATCAGTGTAAGCCTCACAGGTACAATTTGACCAGTGGCAATTTTCAAGGCTGCCGGATGTGTAAGTGTGACTCCCTGGGGACACTGCCTGGGACCATTTGTGACCCAATCAGTGGTCAGTGCCTATGTCTGCCTAATCGTCAAGGAAGAAGGTGCCATCAGTGTCAACCAGGTAAGGGAGAAATGTGCCCCCTTTTCAGAGCAGAATGGCTCTCCTCTCATTGTTCTGGATTAGGTGATTCCCCTTCATTCCTATTTCAGGCTTCTAAAAAATTTATCCCCAGTGTGATTGTGTATGTATCATTATCCAGCCCAGATCTAATGATTTGATTTGTTAATCAAGATTATCCGGCATGTTTGTGTTGCTCTTTTTGTGGGGATAGTTTAGATGAACCTCAGCCATGCAGACTTCTTTCATAACCGAGACTTGCCAATATTCATTTGAGGAGCCCTGGTGATGCAGTGGGCCCTGGTGGCGTGGTGGTTAAGAGCTCTACTGCTAAACAAAGGGTTGGCAGTTCAAATCCACCAGCTGCTCCTTGGAAACCCTGTGGCGCAGTTCTACTCTGTCCTATAGGGTTGCTGGGAGTCAGAATCGACTCGTCGGCAACGAGTTTGTGTGTTTTGGTTTTTGACGACGCAGTGGTTAAAGTGCTTAGTTGCTAACTGAAAAGTCGGCAGTTCAAGCCTACCAGTGGCTGCAGGGCAGAAAGATGTGGCAGTCTACTTCTGTAAAGATTACACCCTTGGAAACACTATAGGGCAGTTTTACTCTGTCCAGTAGGGTTGCTATGAGTTGGAATCAACTCGATGGCAACAGGAATATTAAATTGCTCAACTTGATATAAAATCCTTTTTTAACAATTGAAAAAAAAAAAGAGCTATTAAAAATTAGCCAAGCATCATCACGTCCTCTTGAGCCCTGAGGAGCTAGTTACATGAGCAAAATCTTCTCCATTTCTTCAGCTATTTCATACATGCCCTGACTTATAGACCCTCTGCGGTTGGAGCCACTCTCTCTTTCTAGGACAAGCTACAGTTTGTCAGTGTTCCTCTGAAGATATTGCCCCAGGATTAGAGTTAAGAAAAGCTAGAATGTCAAAGTATGTTGTTCTTGTTAGCTGTCGGAAAGTTGGCTCCCGTCATGGTGACCCCATGCGCAGCTGAAGGAAATGCTGCCCAGTCCTGTGTCAGCCCCATCATCAGCTGTGGATCAGGCAATTTTGATCTGTACCATTTTCAATGGCTGATTTTTGGATGTAGATCACCAGACCTTTCTTCCTAGTCTTAGTATGGAAGCTTCCCTGAAACCTATTCAGCATCATAGAAACACGCAAACCTCCACTGGCTGAGGGGTGGTGGGCTGCACAAGGTAACAGATTGGGATTATTATCTTTTGTTGGACAGTGCAGTTATACAGATAAACATTTCTACTGAGAAATCTTTTCCTTGAGGGTAATGTTGATTTCACAATCTAATCAAGGGATGTTTTATCTGCAGCAGTGAACAATACTTTCATTGAGTTTATATCCTGATGGAGAGACTAACAATAAATTAATTTACAAATAAATATATAATACAAATTTAGGTAGTGATAATCTCTGGATCCTTGCCTCTACTCCGTTGGGTTTTTCTGTTGCTGAGAGCCCAAGATATCATTGTGGTTACCAAATAGACTTTATCTATTCTCCCATTCCCCACATCAGTGTCTACAGTCCTTCTGAAACCTTAAAAATTCCAGAAAGGTGAGCTGGAGAGCCAAGTTTGTATTGTCCACAGTGGAGGCACATTGGCTATTGATTGGAATCAAAAAGTGAAGAGGTTTAAAATGGAGGAAAGTCAAGTGAAAGAAAACTTCAAGTTCTTTGTGTTATTTTAAAAAATATATAAGGACTTACTTTTCTGTGATTTTTGTTTTTCTGCTGATATTTTTCTCATTTAAAATTATGAGTACCTGATTAAGGAAAAAGAAGCCCAAGGAGCTGCCACAGTAAAACTCCTGATTGTTTCTCAGTGTCTTCAATTAAACAAACCAGTTGCTAAATGTCCGCAGTGTATAAGGAATTATATTATTGAGTCTGTGCAAGTTGAATAAGATAATCCTAGCCCTCAAGATATTGAAAATCTAACAAGGGAAATAAGACAAGCACACAAATAAATAAAATGCAAGAATACTTTAAATATGATAATTATTTTCATTATTTGTGATGATCCTCATTCTATATCCTCCTTTAGAGAGAGAACGTTTTGACATGAACCTTAGGTCCCTGCCACACTTCCTGGGGTGAGGGGTGCATCACTTCCAGGAGGATGAGAGCCTTTGATCCTCCTGGTCTGATGGGGGCTGGTTGCTCCGTAGTTCAGTTATACAGCTATAGCCTAGGTTTGAGGATTTCCTTCGTTTGCTTCTCTGCTGAATCCCTTGTTTCCTGAATCCTATGTGGTCTTTTTCTTGGTTTATTTGCTTATTTGGTGCAGCACATGCTCCAGCAGCTTCTGAAAAAGGGTACAAGGAGGGAAGTGTATCTATCTATCTATCTATCTATCTATCTATCTATCTATCTATCTATCTAGAAATAGATATATATTTAATTTTGAATATCTGAAATTGTCTTTGTTTCACCCTCATAGCTGTGGAATCGTTTTCACTCAGAAGTTTTAAATTATTACATCGTTATCTTCTGGCAATACCAATCTGGTTCTTGTTTTTTTTTTTTTAGTTTGTTTGTTTTTGTTTTTGTATAAACTGTGGGGTGAAGTTGTTTTTTTGTCTTCTAATTTCTAGAAGCTTCTACTATCTCTACATCCTTGGTTTCAGGAAATTTTATGAAGATGTGTTATTTGTTAAATAATTGTTCTGGTCACTCGGTGGGCGTTTTTAGCCTGTGAACTCTTGTCTTTATGCTCTAGGAGAATTTTCTTGAATCATGTCTGATAATTTCCTTCTCTCTGCTTTCTCAGAGTCTTGTTAGTTAGATATTGACTCTCCTGGATTGACCCTATCACTTTCTCAATTTTTTTCTTTACATTTTCTATGTAATTTGAGGAGCAGGGAGGGAGCTTTACCAGACTTTGAACTAGCGTCCTTCTAGTCAATTTTTCACTTGGGCTATCTTGTTTTTAATTTTGAAAGGATCTTTCTCATTCTCTGACACACACATACACACACACACGCACACACAGACACATATTTTTATACAAATAACTTGTGCCTTCTATGTTTCTTTACCAACCAGTCCCTCCCTGCCAAGGTATTTCACAAGCACAACTGTGCCTTTTTTTTTTTACATGCTGCTGTAATAAAATTAGCATAGGGCGCTCACAAAACACAGATAATCCCTGTGTTCATGGTAGTACTTCACCCCTGTACCCAGTGATGCCTGGTGTCCCTGAATGCAAATCCTCTCTGCTTTAACTTTTAAAAGGAAAACGTCCTGTTTTTCCCAAAGATGGGAGAGGGACCATCTCCTGGTTGGAGAAGGGATCAACTACACCCCACGCCTGACTCCAGAAGTCTCTGCAGTCTTCAATTCCTAGGCTTTATACAACCTGGACCAAGTAACTGATTGTTGTCTTCTCCACTGCAAAAGCTTAGCTTTTGCTTGGAGACAATTGTCATCAGATGTCATTTCCTCTTTTTTTTTTTTTTTTCCATTTAATATTTGGAGATTTCAGGAGGGAAACATTGTTCATGCTTAGCTAAAAATGCTGTTCTAGTATTTTTCTAGGTTGTAATTTTTTCAGACCAAATCTTTGGAACCATTTTTAATGCCTGTCTTTTTTCCTACAACTTGTTTCTTCTATCAAAAGGAATCATCTCGATTTTACCTTTAACTATATCCAGAATCTGACCACATCTCAACACCCTGACTTACGCTATCCTGGTTCAAGCCCTTTATGCCTTTCTCCTGGACCATCAGAAGAGCCTCCTAAACACTCCATTCCTTCCCTCTCCCTCCTGCAGTCGTTTTTCAACACGCAGCCAAGGTGATACTGTTAAAAGTTCAGTCAGATCATGACACCCCACCCGCCCTTGGCTTCCCGTCATAGAAAGGACTCTAAAGGACCACACAGTCTGTAATCTCCATGACCTCGCTGACCTCATATCCTACGAGTCTTCAGATCATTTTTTCCACTCCAGCCAACAAGTCTCATTGCTGTTCCTCTGATTTGTTCAATGCTCTATCCCGAGTATGCAGAGCTGTACTTACTTAGTGGGTGCTCCGTGTGTATTTACTGAATTAGTTAATAATTAAACCAAAACAACCTGAATGGCTTCTCCTCTTCTGAGTGAAGGTCTGTGAGTGTTCCTTTAACCACACGTAGGGAAGGTATGACGTTCTACCCTGCAAAAGGAGGAAAGTACCGAATATATATTTTTAACAAAACAAGATATGCTATACTCATGTATTATGTATGTAAGGGTCAAAGTGTGCTGTGGTCTCCTCTCCCTTTGTTGGATGGGTGGTAGCTGCATTCGTCTAGCTTCAGAAACTCTACTTTGAATTTTTGTTTTCTGGGTTTGTTGTCTCTTCTGGTGAAACGTAATTTGGAAAAGAACCCTTATCCTAAAGCATGTTTATCACAGGCAGATGCTTCACAGTGCCCAGTGCTGTAGCATGCGCATGACGATGCATTGCTGCCGTCTATAGCCTTCATTCTACTTCTTTAAGTGCATCTGATACCTAGCTCACGTGCTACAGGGAAAGACCGCGCTGGTGCGTGAGCCGTGGGGCGTGGAGGCAGAAGTCCGGGCCAGAGAGGGGTGGATTAGCAAGCCTAAGGAGTTCTGCCTTCTTATTTCATCTGTGACTGTAAATATTGCTGGCCCATCCTAGACTACTCCATGGAGATTTTTGTCTACTTTCTTAAAAACCATTATTAAGGAAGGTGCATGTAATGAAACCTCATGTATTATTAACCTAACCTTACTATGAATGTACAAGGAATAGGCTTAATTCAACTAAAATTTATAGGCAATTGGTTAAAGCAGCAGTGCACATTAGAAGGTACATTAGAGCCACATGGGTTTTAATATGCCATTCAATAACTTGAGCAGAGGTTAAAAATGCTGCTTAACCTCCATTAAGTATTTTTAAAATGCTTTAATTTAAAATTATTTGGAGTGTGTGTACATATATGAATGTATACATAGCCACACTAATAAATATA